GCTTCTCAGATGTTCCATGGCCAGGTGTGTGTTATTCCCTCATTATCCCAATTACAATGAGCAGATAAAAGGTCCAGAGTTCATTTCAAGTGTGCTATTTGCATTTGGAATCTGTTGCTGTCAACTCTCAAGATGAGATCCAAAGAGCTGTCACTATCAGTGAAGCCATCATTAGGCTGAAAAAACAAAACAAACCCATCAGAGAGATAGCAAAAACATTAGGCGTGGCCAAAACAACTTTTTGGAACATTCTTAAAAAGAAGGAACGCACCGGTGAGCTCAGCAACACCAAAAGACCCGGAAGGTCACGGAAAACAACTGTGGTGGATGAGCGAAGAATTCTTTCCCTGGTGAAGAAAACACCCTTCACAACAGTTGGCCAGATCAAGAACACTCTCCAGGAGGTAGGTGTATGTGTGTCAAAGTCACCAATCAAGAGAAGACTTCACCAGAGTGAATACAGAGGGTTCACCACAAGATGGAAACCATTGGTGAGCCTCAAAAACAGGAAGGCCAGATTAGAGTTTGCCAAACGACATGTAAAAAAGCCTTCACAGTTCTGGAACAACATCCTATGGACAGATGAGACCGACATCAACTTGTACCAGAGTGATGGGAAGAGAAGAGTATGGAGAAGGAACTGCTCATGGTCCTCAGCATACCACCTCATCAGTGAAGCATGGTGGTGGTAGTGTCATGGCGTGGGCATGTATGGCTGCCAATGGAACTGCTTCTCTTGTATTTATTGATGATGTGACTGCTGACAGAAGCAGCCGGATGAATTGTGAAGTGTTTCGGGAATATTATCGGCTCATATTCAGCCAAATGCTTCACAACTCATTGGACGCTTCACAGTGCAGATGGACAATGACCCAAAGCAGACTGCAAAAGACACCAAAGAAGTGGAATGTTCTGCAATGGCCAAGTCCATCACCTGACCTGAATCCGATTGAGCATTTCACTTGCTGAAGACAAAACTGAAGGGAAAATGCCCCAAGAACAAGCAGGAACTGAAGACAGTTGCAGTAGAGGCCTGGCAGAGCATCACCAGGGATGACACCCAGCGTCTGGTGATGTCTATGCGTTCCACACTTCAGGCTGTCATTGACTGCAAAGGATTTGCAACCAAGTATTAAAAAGTGAAAGTTTGATTTATGATTATTATTCTGTCCCATTACTTTTGGTCCCTTAACAAGTGGGAGGCACATATGCAAACTGTTGTCATTCCTACACCGTTCACCTGATTTGGATGTAAATACCCTCAAATTAAAGCTGACAGTCTGCAGTTAAAGCACATCTTGTTCGTTTCATTTCAAATCCATTGTGGTGTATAGAGCCAAAAATGTTAGAATTGTGTCCATGTCCCAACATTTATGGACCTGACTGTATATATATATTTATTGAAATATATTGAATACGGCCAAAATTGTAGCATTTCAAATATAGGTCAATATATTTGGGAAGAATAATTTTAAAATATATTTCAAATATATTTTTCTTCCATGTGGGCTAACAGAGGCTGCAGCTACAGATCCCACATTTTGGCCCCTCCCCCTCCAATGCATTTCACCTTCATTGACTACCATGGGTGCTCAACCTGCAGCCCGCCAGCTGTTGTGGAACTACACATCCCATGAGGCATTGCAAGCCACTGACAGTTATGACTCCCAAAAGCAGAGGCATGATGGGACTTGTTGTTCTGCAACAGCTGGAAGGCCGCAGGTTGAGCAGCCATGGTCACTAAGCCCAGTCCGGGTAAAATGCATCAGTGGGGGGTGGGGGGGGGGGGTAAGATGCAGGGACTGTAGCTGAAGCCTCTGTTAGCTTGCTGGCTGGTGTGGTTGATCTATGTGGTGTGCGCACCCTAATTTTGCTACTGTGATGGCTCCATGGAGTGTGACATGCTATTAGAGGGGCTGGCACCCATTGTAGGAGGAGGACTGATGGAAGGATGAACACGAGGTGTGTGAGTGACACAATTTTTGACATGTGGTTTTAATGGTTGAACTGGATGGACTTTTGTCTTTTTTCAGCCAGACTAACTATGTAACATAGTTACATACAGTAGTTAAATTTTTGCATAGTTACATACGCTATATTGCCAAAAGTATTGTCCCCGCCCTCCAAATTATTGGATTCAGGTGTTCCAATCCCCTCCATGGACGCAGGTGTATACAATCAAGCCCCTAGGCATGCAGACTGCTTCTACAAACATTGGTGAAAGAATGGGTCACTCTCAGGAACTCAGTGAATCCAAGCCTTCCATTACCAAGTGCAATGCAAAGCGTCGGTGCCGTGGTGTAAAGCACGCTGCCACTTGACTCTAGAGCATGGAGACGTGTTCTCTGGAGTGACCAATCACACTTCTCTGTCTGGCAATCTGATGGACGTGTCTAGGTTTGGTGGTTGCCAGAAGAACGGTACTTGCCTGACTGCATTGTGCCAAGTGTAAAGTTGGGGGGATTATGGCGTGGGGTTGATTTTCAGGGGTTGGGCTTGGCCCCCTAGTTCCAGTGAAGGGAACTCTTAAGGTGACATTTTGGACAATTTCATGCCCTCAACTTTGTGGGAAGAGTTTGGGGATGGCCCCTTCCTGTTCCAACATGACTGCCCACCAGTGCACAAAGCAAGGTCCATAAAGACATGGAGGAGCCAGTTTGGGGTGGAGGAACTTGACTGTCCTGCACAGAGTCCTGACCTCAACCCCATAGAACACCTTTGGGATGAATTAGAGCGGAGACTGCGAGCCAGGCCTCCTCCCCCGACATCAGTGCCTGACCTGACAAATGTGCTTCTGGAAGAATGGTCCAACCTTCCCATAGACACCCTCCTAAACCTTGTGGGGGGCCTTCCCAGAAGAGTTGAAGCTGTTATAGCTGCAAAGGGTGGGGCCAACTCACTATTGAACCCTACGGACTAAGACTGGGGGGCCATTAAAGGTCATGTGTGTGGGAAGGGCGGGGCCAACTCAATATTGAACCCTACGGACTAAGACTGGGGGGCCATTAAAGGTCATGTGCGGGGGAAAGGGCGGGGCCAACTCAATTATTGAACCCTACGGACTAAGACTGGGGGGCCATTAAAGGTCATGTGTGTGGAAAGGGTGGGGCCAACTCAATATTGAACCCTACGGACTAAGACTGGGGGGCCATTAAAGGTCATGTGTGTGGAAAGGGGCGGGGCCAACTCAATATTGAACCCTACGGACTAAGACTGGGAGGCCATTAAAGGTCATGTGCGTGGAAAGGCCGGGGCCAACTCAATATTGAACCGTACGGACTAAGACTGGGGGGCCATTAAAGGTCATGTGCGTGGAAAGGGCGGGGCCAACTCAATATTGAACCCTACGGACTAAGACTGGGAGGCCATTAAAGGTCATGTGCGTGGAAAGGGCGGGGCCAACTCAATATTGAACCCTACGGACTAAAACGGGGGGGCCATTAAAGGTCATGTGTGTGGAAAGGCCGGGGCCAACTCAATATTGAACCCTACGGACTAAAACTGGGGGGCCATTAAAGGTCATGTGTGTGGAAAGGGCGGGGCCAACTCAATATTGAACCCTACGGACTAAGACTGGGGGGCCATTAAAGGTCATGTGCGTGGAAAGGGCGGGGCCAACTCAATATTGAACCCTACAGGCTAAGACTGGGGGGCCATTAAAGGTCATGTGTGTGGAAAGGGCGGGGCCAACTCAATATTGAACCCTACGGACTAAGACTGGGGGGCCATTAAAGGTCATGTGCGTGGAAAGGGCGGGGCCAACTCAATATTGAACCCTACGGACTAAGACTGGGGGGCCATTAAAGGTCATGTGCGTGGAAAGGGCGGGGCCAACTCAATATTGAACCCTACGGACTAAGACTGGGGGACCATTAAAGGTCATGTGCGGGGAAAGGCCAGCGGCCCAATACTTGGGGCAATATAGTGTAGTTGTACAGTTGCATAGTTACATAGTTATTCAGTCAATCAACAGAAAAGAGAAAACCTCCATATATAAAACCCAACACCCACAGTTGATCCAGAGGAAGGCAACAAAAAAACCCTTTTAAAATGTTCTCCATATTTTTCGAAAATTGTGATTGTAGTCAATGTGAGGTTCTTTCATATGACGGATTTTCCTGCTTCTACAGTGACACGGCCTATGATTGCAGGCTGAACATGGCTGAGAACATACATGCTTTGAATGTTCTTGGGGCTACCAAGTCTTTATTTAATGTTGCAATTTTTTCAAAACTTTAAAAACTTGTAATTTATAAGATTTTGAAGATGCACCTGATTGGTTCCTAGTGTTTTAAGAAAAGGTCTGATCCTACCCTTCTTCCTTCAAAGCTTTGTTCCACCTTGTGTGGATATGGAATGAAAGAACGCCATATGGTTACATAGCTGCTCCAGAAAAAAAAAAAGACACGTCCATTGGAGATGAGCTTGGGTTCCATTCCAACATGGACGATAGCTGCTATTGCTGGGCCAATGAGGAGAGTCCCCACCCTGCAGAGACACTTATGCAGTGGAGTGTGACATCATTGACCCAATATGGCCATTTGCCTATATTTGGTCAGTGATGTCATGAGCACCCCGTGATGTCATGTGAAGTGATGTCATGAGCGCTCCTTCTTGTGCATCAGCTGAGGGGTGGAGAAACTTGCACTGGCGACAATGAACACTAACTTCCAGGTTTAGGCTGAACCCAAGCTCATCATTAAAGTCCATTGAGTTCAACCAAAAGAAAAAATAAATTGAATACAATAAAATACTGCATCCTCAGATCCACAACCTGGTTGCTGGAGGGGAAGTCAACCCTGGGTAAAGCTAGTTCCTGAGGAAGTCTGTTGTCACAGCTCTTACTGCAAAGAACCCTTTCTGTATGCAGAGCTTAAACATTTCCTCCTTCGGGCACAAAGGATGGCCCATATGACATTTACAGTGACTGCAAAGTGAACAAATTCATGGACTAACTGATGTATTTATAAATGGATGTAACCATTTCCTTTCCCTTGCAGATTGCTCAGACTGAACCCCAGAGAACATGTTCCAGGTCCACCGTGGAAAATCTGCCCAGTGGATGCCAGCAGGTGTGCCAGTGTAGACCTCCGCCATTATTGCCTCCTCCACCCCCTCCTCCGCCACCTCCAAGACTCCCAGCGCCTAGTGAGTACCCTGCTTTTGTATCTGCACATATTGGCACTCACAGGCCAGCATGATGGGCAGCTGGTTCTGGTGTATTCTGACCTGCTGCGGGTTCGTAGATCCAGAGTCTGTACTGTGTTCTTGTATCAGTCTTCTGTGGTTCTAATAGGTTTGAGGCTAGCTTGACAATGTATCAGGTTAATTATTATTTCATGTACTTCTATAGCATTATATTGGGCATTGTAGAGTACAAGGAACCATTGACTTTAGCCCCACCCCTGAGGAGCTTACAGTCTAATATGTGCCTATTGGCTGGTAACTCAGAGTGCATAGAAATCGGTGGCTCAGATTATCAGCCAGGCAAATAACATTTTCAGTGGAGGACCACCTATTTCTCTTGCCAGATTTACCCAAACCTGAAGGTCAGTTTTGGGCATTTAGGAGAAAAATCGAGGAGAAGATCCCCATACACAGAAAACGTACAAACTTTCCTCCTGCTGGCAGAAGAAACCGGCGCTGCAAGCCAGGAGTACTATACACTAAGTAGAAGAAAAGCTCGATGGTCCCAAGACCTCTACTTGATGCTGATATCTGGGGGCTTAGGTGCATCAAATGGAGCTCGTCTGTACTCCACAGCAAAAAAATGCCCATACACCTCTGACCTCAGCATTCATTCAACTTTATTGCTCCAGAGGCTGTGCACACAGAAGCTCCTCCTGACACGTTTCACCCAAAGCCAGCCTTAGGGTGAAACGCATCAGGACTAGTAAGTTCCCAAGCTTCCCAGACTTCTATGTCCATGTTTTCTGGAACAATAAAGTTTTATTGATCGCTGTGATCATCAATGTGTGGCCAGGGGTGGACTGACAACTCATAGGGTCCCCGGGCAATGGGGGATCATGGGGCCCCTGTGTGCTTGCCCACACACTCAAAGCACACCCAAAAAAGCCTATAAAAGGTACCAGGGGCATTTCATGGGGCCCCCTACTGACCCCGGGCCCTCGGGCAGTGCCCAAATGCTCGAATGGTCAGTCCGCCCCTGTGTGTGGCCCTTGCTTTGCTGTGGAAGAACTATTCACTAAGTACTTAGATTTGTCTTTTGGATAAAGCAGAGATGGGATAGAAACTGTTGTGGCTTTGTCTTCATTCATTGACGTCGCTGGGGTTGGTGTCAACTGGTGTGGTAACACATGGTGTCACATACCCCCCCCCCCCCCCCACACAATTTTTTAATTGCCCCTTTAAAATTTCCCCACAACAACCCGCTCCCCCATTATAATTACCTCATCCTCCTCTGTTACATATAATCTCCATGCGATACCCCCCCAATTATAATTACCCCTCACCTATTATAAATACCCTGGACCACCCCCCCTTCAATTATATTTACCCATGCCCCACAATTATAATTGCCCTGCAGCCCCCCCCCTCAATTATAATTACCTTTCCCTACACAATAATAATTACCCTGCAGCCTTCAATTTTATTTTCCCTGCTCCCACAATCTCACATTGCGTACAATTCCCCAGCACTCCCCCCCCCCCGCCCCGCCAGGAGGGTCTCTCACTTCTCCCCTGGCCACCATCACTCCATCCAGCTCTGGCTAGTAAACAACCGCCCATTACCAGGACAACTGGGGAGCGCGCAACGCGTGATGACGTCACTACATGCAGGAAAGAGCCAGGCTTGTCTGGGGGGGGGAGGCAGGGTGGACAGAGATACATACGGGGGCACATATATACATACAAAGGGCCTCTCACACATATATAAACCTACTTGATGGTGTCACCCCTCTGGCAGGTGTCACCCGGGAGTGGTCCGCAACCCCCCCCCCCCCCCCCCGTGATGCCACTGTCTTCATTTAGGGGACTTTCTTCCCTTCCTGTCCCAGTGACCACACAGGAAGTGAGGAAAAAAATCTATAATGTGAACACAGCCAACAAATAAACATGCAAAGGGAGCCCTTTTTTGTTCCTGGTGTCCCCATTGGAGAAATTATCATCACTTCCAGTCCCAGTGAGCACACAGGAAGTGAGTATAAATCTTCCTAGGAAGTGGCTGCAAACAAGTCGCAGGAGATCAGCAACATTGTGACAAAGCATAAACACCGAGCATTATCAAACTAAATTCTGTTCATTAAATATAGTTTGACCCCCCCAGACCTCCATACTATATACATTAAGAATTGGGTTTATTAGTTTCTTAGATTTCCAGGACCCCAGAATCCGAGATCCCAGATAGCTGACACATCGGTTCCGACTGGACCCAGGAAATGTTCCCGGCGGTGAGCTGTGGGGTTATCAGTTTGCAGGAGAGAATTTTCCGGCAAAGAGCCCAATATCTGTGAAAGCTTTCAGATGTGGTTTGGATTACCGCTAACAAAGGGCTCTCCTCCTTCCCCGGTGAGCGCGCCGCCAGCGCAGGTCAGGAGCCATTTATTAAATCTCCAGAAAAGGGTGCAGCTTGTGAAAAGCAGACGTTGGCCCCGAGATCACCCGATAAGTCCTGAGAAGCCGCTAATTTGTAGCAAAGAACTGGAGAGCAGCATAACAGAATGTTCCCGGAGGAAAGACGGAGCAGAAAACCTCAGAAAAGGTTCCCTGACCTGACTAAGCTCAGAACATTCAAAACATTGTAACTCCTTCTGCCAAGAACATGAGCTGTTTAAAGTCAATCTACAGCCCAAACTTTTTTGGAGGGAGGGATTGGAAGCCTTGGCAGGTCCAACTTGGGTGATTTCACTTCACTTTCTGCCCTGGAGAGACAACAGAAAGTTAGGGGAAATTCCCTCCTAGACAGTTGTCGCCGTAACAGGTATTGCCATTGGAAGATTCCCCCCTCGTCTCCTTTTCCATGGCCAGACGTGGAATAAGAGATGTTCCATCACAACAAGGGTGGAGCTTGATCTTGCGATTGCTCGGACCCATGTTTTTGGCTTGGAACTTGGAAGCCAGCTATTATTCTCAATCCAATGAGCTGCGGGTAGGGGATTCCTTGCCCCACAGCTGATGTTACAAAGCTCATGACATCCTTGACCTAATATGGGCACATGGCCATGACCCAATGATCATTGACTTAATATGGGCACATGACCATGACCCAATGATCATTGACTTAATATGGGCACATGACCATGACCCGATGATCATTGACTTAGCATGTGAACATGACCATGACCCAATGATCATTGGCTTAACATGAGAACATGACCATGACCCAATGATCATTGACTTAATATGGGCACATGACCATGACCCGATGATCAGTGACTTAATATGAGAACATAACCATGACCCAATGATCATTGGCTTAACATGAGAACATGACCATGACCCGATGATCATTGGCTTAACATGAGAACATGACCATGACCCAATGATCAGTGACTTAATATGAGAAAATGACCATGACCCAATGATCATTGGCTTAACATGAGAACATGACCATGACCCAATGATCATTGACTTAATATGGGCACATGACCATGACCCGATGATCATTGACTTAACATGTGAACATGACCATGACCCGATGATCAGTGACTTAATATGAGAACATAACCATGACCCGATGATCAGTGACTTAATATGAGAACATAACCATGACCCGATGATCAGTGACTTAATATGAGAACATAACCATGACCCAATTATCAGTGACTTAATATGGGCACATGGCTATGACCCAATGATCATTGCCTAATATGGACACGTGACCATGACCCAATGATCAGTGACCTAATATGAGAACATGACCATGACCCAATGATCAGTGACCTAATATGAGAACATGACCATGGCCCAATGAACAGTGACCTAATATGGACACATGGCCATGACACAATGATCACTGACCTAATATTATTATTATTATTATTATTATACAGGATTTATGGTGCCAGCAGTTTGCTCAGCACTTTACAATATAACGGGAGACACAATACATCAACAATACAGTTCAATACAAGAGGGATAGGAGGGCCCTGATCCTGGGAGCTTACAATGGGTACATGGCCATGACCCAGTAATGTTTAACCTAATATGGGCACATGGTCATGACCCAATGATTATTGACCTAATATGAGTACATGGCTATGACCCAATGGTCAGTGACTTAAAATGGGCACATGGCTATGACCAAATGATTATTGACCTAATATGGGCACCTGGCCATGACCCAATGATCAGTGACCTAATATAAGCACATGACCATGAACCAATGATCATTGCCTAATATGGACACGTGAAAATGATCCAATGATCAGTGACCTTATATGAGAACATGACCATGACCCAATGAACAGTGACCTAATATGGGCACATGGCCATGACACAATGATTATTGCCTAATATGGACACGTGACCATGATCCAATGATCAGTGACCTAATATGAGAACATGACCATGACCCAATGAACAGTGACCTAATATGGACACATGGCCATGACACAATGATTGACCTAATATGGGCACCTGGCCATGACCCAATGATCAGTGACCTAATATAAGCACATGACCATGAACCAATGATCATTGCCTAATATGGACACGTGACCATGATCCAATGATCAGTGACCTTATATGAGAACATGACCATGACCCAATGAACAGTGACCTAATATGGACACATGGCCATGACACAATGATTATTGCCTAATATGGGCACCTGGCTAAGATCCAATAATCATGGCCCTAATATGAGCACATGACCATGATCCAATAATCATTGACTTACTATGAGCGCATGGCCATGACCCAATAATCATTGACCTAATATGGGCACACAATATGGCCACACAGTCAAACATCAATAAAAACCTGGGGGAATGGATAGGTAGCGCTTGAACCATGGTTTGTCCTATTGGTATTACTGTTTTATGGAGAGGGGTAGGATGCCCTTGCATGTTCTTTTTTTTTTTTTTTTCTATCCAATTGGGGTGATTTCCCTTTGCCTCCTGTTCTAGAGACACAATGGAAAGTAAGGAGAAATCCCCTTCTAGACAGTTGTCACTAGATCAAGTA